GCAGTGCACATAGCCCTTCCCTTATCCTAAATTAAAGTGAACAATTAGATTAACATATGGAAATTAGTTATAGAGAGTAGGATAATCTCTCTCATTGTGAATTAATTGGACACACATAAGCCCCAACTAATTTTGGTGGTGGTCACCCAGCATATATTTATTGAGTATAGACTATTTACAGATAGAGAAGTAGGCATCAAAGTGGATAGCCTCTGCTGACAATTTGTTTGTAATAGATCGAGGAAGTCATGCATTGTGTCATTCAAAAGTCAGTTGGAAAACAGAAGCCATTCTAAGTACATTTTAAATGGTTAAGAGTTTTATACAAAAAAAAAAATTGGGTTCCAAAAATTTGGAAAATCTTTTATGGTATCTAATTTTATTTTTTGCAATATTGAGAATTGGAGCCAGGGTCTTGGAGATGCTAGGCAAGGACCGTACCTCTGAGGTACACATTGTCTGCCCTTTAGAGATTCAGTAAGATTGGAGAAGTCCAGAACTACGACTAGAACTTTCCTGTTTCAGACTTTTGTCGCCATAACAGTAATCAGTTAAACAGCCACAGCTGTCAGTGCAGATGCCTGTGGCAGTCATGTGAATATACTGGAGAACTAAGTTTTGAATATATGGTACATCTGTTGTAACTTTCAGCCTTAATGTCTCTTAAGATCTTGCCTGTCATCCAATAAGAGTAAGAACATGGTTATCCGTTCACTTCTGTTCACTCTTTTATGAATGTTTTTAATTAGCAAAACATTTTTTTGCATGTATTGACCATAAAAGATCTGGAAAACATATTTTCCCTTTTAGTACATGTAATACAGTAATGGAGGTAGGAGTACACTTTATAATAGTTAATATTTCTTTCCTTTAGTGATAAAGTGGAAATGTTTTTAGGAAGAAAATGTACCTTTATGTCCTTTTCTTCTGAAAGAACAGAGATTAAATGACTAATAGTTTATTAACATTATAATATAAAGAATATGACTAAGGAAGAATAAATTTGAGAGTTCAGATCTAGAGGATGGTGTTTGTTAACTGACATTTAAGTAGTAATCAGGAGGTTAATAGTGATCAAAGCAAAAGACCATAGATGCAGTTTAAGGAAAAGAGAGCACATTCAAAGAAGTTGGAGAGAAAATTAAGTCAAAGTGATTAAAATGTAGAAAATGATTGGGATTGGCAAGTGATAGCTTTATGGCATGAGTCTCATGTTGGAGATAAGCACCAAATCATCAAGAGACAGTATTATGGAACACATGTTATATTTTAACCTCAAAGTAGTAGGTAAAGGTCAGAGTATTTTGTTTTCACCTCAAAGCAGTAGCTAAAGGTCAGTATTTTGTTTGTAAAACACATCACTCTACAAGCAGGATAAGAAAAGATGGGAAGACCAGTTAGAGATGGGGGTTCATTCAGGGAATATTGGGAAATATTGCCAAGATTTGATTAATAGGGTGTGGAGGAAGAAAGATCTAGAAATTTTTAACTTCTAAAAGATGTCTAAACAGGACATGGTATCACATATCTACAATCCTAGCACTTAGGCTGAGACCAGAGAACTGTGCATTTGAGGCTAACCTGGACTACAGAGTAACCTTGTCTCAGAAAAATCTTTTAAAGATGCCTTAGAGTGAGGAGTTGTCATGAAAGAAAAGGAAGAGTAGACAGAGAGACAAACATTCAGTCAGAGGGAAGTGTGCAGATGATGAATTTCATTTGGACATGTTGCATTTGAGATGCCTATGATTTTTGTAGATGTTAGCATCACTTTTACTTAGTTTGAATTTGGTATATCAGAACCAAATTCAGTGTTGTGAGTGGAAATGGGAAACCTTGGAAGAGCCCAGGTCCAAGATTTGGAAGCTCTGAAATTCAAAGATCAGATAGAAGGGATGACAAAAATAAATAAATAAAAATAACAGCCTCTGACATACGAGTATACTACTATAAACCCAAGGAAATATAATGGCACAAAGGTCAAAGAAGAGTGCTTCACAGAGAAGGAAATAATCATCTCTACTGAGTGCTGCTATAGTAATGGAGTAATGTGACAGCTGTACAATATTCACTGTATATAGCAAAGTGGAAGATACTGGTAAATTTATTTAAAAGGTTTATCATTCTCATGGTGGAAAGCAAAGCCAGATTTAGGTGGCTAATGATAGAAATAAACTCAAATACAGGTATTAATTTTGAACTTATTTTATATATAGAAGGAAAACTGATAGTATGTAGCAAATATGAAGCAGTATCTAAAAAGGTGGACGTAGCCTCTGTTTTTTCAAGGCAGAAATGATATTAGTATGCTCTCATAAACGCTTAAGGAGAGACTGAGCAGAGTTTGAAATTGACTAATTATGTATATTAAAAAGAGAAGTGAGCAAGGATAATACAAATGTCTAGAGAAGTGAGATCCTAGAATAGGTGGATTTTCCTTCAACAGAAGAAAGGTGCTTTGCTGTGGTAGAAGGAAGGTTGAGGTTGAAAAAGTCTGTTACCATGCAAATGAATTTGTGTTTTTTAAAAAAAACGGTGTTGAATATTTGTGCATTTCATAAATCATGATCATGTTTAGACCCTCTCTCCTATCTGCACCCCGCATAGTCTCTCCTGCCATATTTCATGCATTCTGTCATATATGTTAATGCCTATCAAGTCAAGTTTGTGTCCCCAAATATCCCCAAGTGTGAATCCATCCACTGGACCCTGGTCAACCTTTCTAGCATCACCCCCTTAAAGAAGACTCTCCCTCACTCAGTTGCCAATAGTTCCTCAGCTAAAGTTGGGGCTTCTTACCCATTTCCCCAGTTCCATGCTGGGTTTTATATTGTTTTAATTTGTATGGATCTTGTGCATGCTTTCACCATTGCCGTAAGTTCATATGAGCAAGGTCTCAGCCACCTGGAATACTGTTTCTTTGTGATCATCCACCACCCCTGGCTCTTACAGTTTTCCTGTGCCCTCTTCCACAATGGTCCTTTATCCCTAGGTGGCAGAGGTTTAATATAGGAGTCCTATCCAGGGACACACACTCTGCAGCCTCTTATTCTCTGCATTTTGATCAGTTGTGGCTTTCTGCTTTAATCCCCATCTGTTACATGAGAAAGCATTGCTAGTGAGAGTTGAGATGCATTATATTTTTTCTGATCCTTGTTTCCCTGCATTCCTGAGCCTTAGGTATAGAGGGTGCATTGTATATGTGCCACATAGGACTGAGCATCTCAGAGACACTTATTTTCTGTGTTTGACTAGTTGTGGAATAGTCTCAATAGACTGCTATAGTCTCAATCTGTTGTAAAAAGAAGCTCTATTGATGAGTGCTTAGAGGTGTAATTGTCTGTAAATACAAGGATACATATTTAGCGTACAGTAGGAAATTATATTTGTCTAGGGTTGTGACAAGGCCTAAGTTTTTCTTTAGGATCTGTGATCTCTCCAGACATGTTTGTTTGGCTGTGTTTATAGTATGGCACGTAAGTTCCCTCCCATTGAGGGGGTCTTAAGTCCAGTTAGCTGTTGATTACCTCCAAGATAAAAATGCTGCTACTCCACATGTACATGAACATGACAGACATGTACCTTGCCCAGGTTTAGGACAGAACCCAGGGTTTCATGCATGCTAGGATAGCACCCTACCAACTGACCTGTATCCTCCACAGCTCAGTTTCGTTATTATTTTTACCAGGATTTTTTATATGTATGAGTGAAGCTAAGCATTTTCTGCCTTGATCATTTGTATTTCTTTCTCTTTAAATTGTTTACATACTTGATTCATTGTGTATCAGTTTGCAGATACTATCAAATACATGACATATTTTTTCCTAGATAGACTGCAGAAAAATGAAATAAGTGTACATTCCCCTTAAAACATGAAGAAGATAGTCCTTTTTTAGTAGGTGTATGTTTTGCTTTGGGCTTTCAAAATGTAGGTTGTCATTTTCTTTTGGCCACTAGATGGCGGGGTTTACTAATTTATTACCTAATTTAGGTAGATTATTTTATAGTGTTGTTTTCTTAGTTAATCGCTTAGAAGTGACTGAAGATATAATCGATGTGTCAAGGTCCAGACTAGAACCCCAGTCCTCTGAAATTTCATTCCCCGTTAGTATTAATATATGGGGGAAAATGGTAAAAAGAGGCTCCTAAATTGTTGATAATGAAATTTTTGAAAACAATAATAAGTGATATAATATCCCCAAAGAAGCTTTAATTATTTAACAGTAATAAAACATTGAATTAAAATATTGAACTAAGGTGCACAAAAATACTTTCTCTAGGAAATTTCTTCAGTGAATTCTATAAGACTTTCTGTTGTGGAACCTAAACAGATTGACAGTAAGTCTCCATAGCCCGTGTCTGAATTCAGACCAGGCCGGAGAACAGACGCCAAAATGAAGTTAGTACGTTCTCAACGTGGTTACAAAATTAAAGAAAAATATACTCATTGCAAGTGAAGGACCAGTGGGGCACCATTAAGCATCTTAGTAAGAGGAGAGACTGTCTTCCAGGTAGTGAGTCTGGAACAGGAAGTGTAAATGTAGGTTCAAATTCTTCAGAAGAGACTCGAAGAAGATGCTGGTCTTTGTGCTGTTGTAAGTAGTGAATGGTAGGGGTTAGGATGGAAGTTTGTGAAGTCTTGCAATTTGACAGCTCTGGATTTAGTCTTAGAGTTGAGGCACAGATATGTTTTATTTTAGTCGAGTATTTTTGGAAGTATAACAAACTGGTAATACTAGTTGACTACAAGAAGGGACAGCTGGATGAGACATTTGTTTTTCACTTAATTTCTTTAATTTTGATAATACCTCCTTTTGAAATAGATGACAGAAAACTTTTAAATGATGTCTCCATAAATCACTATTATAGTTAGCTCACTTAAGAAACTTAAAAGTAATTTTTTGCTTTCTTTGATAAGCTCATTCAATAAACATGTCAAATAGTAATTGCTTTTAAATGTTAAGTAATAATCTTTTATGTTTTGTTAATATCTACTATAGGTACAAAAGTCAAGAAATAAGCAAGTACGAGAATTATTCCCAGATGGCTTTAGTATTCATCATGCAGGAATGCTTCGGCAAGATAGAAATTTGGTTGAAAACTTGTTTTCGAACGGGCATATCAAAGTCCTTGTCTGTACAGCCACATTAGCCTGGGGCGTCAATCTTCCTGCTCATGCTGTTATTATTAAGGTAGGCGCTTACTTCCCTTTGCTTATGGATTTATGTGTCTGTTAAGTAAACCTCTGAATTGATTTATTTAGAAAAATATTGTGATTTGTCTGTGTCATTGACTGTGAATATCATTTATTTAAAGCCAGATTTATTTTCTCCAATAAAAATCTAGTTTATATTCCAAAAATTTAACTCTATTACAGATGATGAAGGGATTAGTTAAAGTACACTTTTGAGATCTTGCCATATTTGCCCAATTTCAGTTTTCAGCTCTTCAGGATTATGGGTGTGTGTTTATGTAAATTTTATTAACTTTTCCTCATCTAGGGAACACAAATATATGCTGCAAAAAGAGGCTCCTTTGTTGACCTTGGAATTTTAGATGTCATGCAGATATTTGGCCGAGCCGGACGACCACAATTTGACAAATTTGGGGAAGGAATCATTATAACGACACACGATAAACTCAGCCATTACCTCTCTTTGCTCACTCAGCAAAACCCAATTGAGAGTCAGTTTCTGGAAAGTCTTGCAGATAACCTAAATGCAGAGGTAAGAACATCAGAGTAAAAGCTTGGAATTCTATCATTAGCCCTAAGAATAATAATGAAATAAAGATTGGAATTGTTGCTAATTTGTAGTCTTCGGAACATAGTATATGCCACATAATCATAACACTATGGCTAAATAGGCTAAATTGCAGTATTGTTGATTAATTCACAACACTATAACATGTAGACAGATAGACTGACAAGAATTCATTGTCAAATCACCATCTATTTTTATCTATGAGGTTTTGCTATAGACCAAAAGCTAGATCTAAACTCCACAAGTTAGGGGAACAAATAGCAGTCTTAACTATATTTGCATGTTACTTTTCTATTAGTTTACTAGATTTATAAAGATCCTTTCTTTTTATTATATCACTTGATTGACCTTGCTATATAAGATTTTTATGTTACATAAAATATAAATTGAGCTTGAATATGATAATTTGTGTGTTCCTGCAACTTCTGTGTTCAGACTTAACAGTTCTCAGAGATCTGGATAACTAACATCTTAAAAGATTTTATTTAAAGCTGGGCGTGGTGGTGCATGCCTTTAATCCCAACACTCGGGAGGCAGAGGCAGGCGGATCTCTGTGAGTTCAAGCCAGCCTGGTCTACATAGCAAGTTCCAGGACAGCTGGGGCTACACTACAGGGGAGACCCTGTTTCAAAAAAAGACCAAAAATTTTTTTATTATTTTTATTGTTTTTATGTGTATGCGTATATTGCCTGCATGTGTGTAAGTGCACCCATGTTGTGCAATGCCTGTGGAGGTCAGAAGAAGACGTTGGATCCCCTGGAACGGGAGTTACAGATAGTTATTAGCTGCCATGTGGGTTCTCAGACTCAAAGCCGGATATTCTACAAGAGCAGCCGGTGCTCTTAACTGCTGAGCCATCTCTCCAGCCATGATAACTAACATCTTAATTGGCAAAGAGTATAATATTCTTTTTAAAAAGTTTTTATGGCCTTTTCGCTTTTTGGATGTGTGGCATCAAGATGGGTCACCAGCAGCTCTACTGGAGCCACCCGTGGAAATTCGGCCAGGGTTCTCGATCGTGCTGCGCCTGCTCTAACTGCCACGGTCTGTTCCAGAAGTATGGGCTGAACATGTGCCGACAGTTTTTCCCGCTAGTACGTGAAGGACATAGGCTTCATTAAGTTGGACTAAGCAATATTATAATATAAAATATTATATATTTATATATGTAATATATATATAAAATATGCCTTTGGAGTATAATTTCTGTCCCCAAATGTCCCCCAGTGGGGGTCCATCCACTGGAGCCTGGTTAACCTACAACGAACCCCATCCTTGAAAGATACTGACTCTTTCCTTCCCAGCAGCCATTGTTTGCCACAATTTCCTTAGGTCGGGTTGGTATTTCTTACCCACTTCTTCATGTCTACACTGGGATTTTGCCTGGTTTGAGCTTGCATGGAACTTGTTCGTGCTCTCACTGTTGTTTACTGAAGTTTATATATGGAAGTAAATAGTACACCTATATACTCATGGAGATTATATATTTGCTTATATAGATTTTATTGGTTTCGACCAATTTTCAAAATAGACATACAAGTAGTGAAATAGTCTTAAATATTAAGCTTTAAATACATGAGTTAGATATGAAATGATACTTGAATCTTATTTCTAAATTTCCAACTTCAGGGTAAGTTTACATTCCTTAATGGATTGTAAAGCTTTACTGTACACTAATCACACTTTTATGTTTCACATGTCCCAAGTTTTAAACCATTTTTGTGTGAGTCCAGTGCTAGGCATTGTGGGTGTTGGATTTATAATAGTCATCCTAGATTACTTATTTCATGTCCATGAGGACCGTTCCTTTGGCCAAGGACCATGCTGTGTTTGTTACTATAGTCTTATTGACGACTTACTATATGATTATTGAGATGAATGAATAAATTCCAAGCAGATGCTATGAAAAAAATACTTATTTTATAAAAGATGCCTCCTGTATTAAGTAGCCACTAGGTGACAGCAAATATTGACAATAAAGTTTCAGTTTTTATCACTAGGTGGCAATCAAGGATTAGCTTCAGAATAATATGTACCATTATCATATGTACACTTGTTTTCAGGTTAATATCTTTCCTTTTTGTGAATGATTAGAAGATAACGTGTTACTTGAGCAAATGTTTTGATACCTATATACCTCTTTCCTTTCATCTCAGTAGTAGTAGTAGCAACAGAAGATTCTGACAGTTGTATCAAGCTTATTTTATCATCTCTAAAATTTTCAGTTTTTAGGAATAGTGTGGTATTATTGTGAAGTAATATTATGAGATCATAAGGAAATAAAGGCCACATGTCCTATTATATGAATTTTAACAAAAGAAACTATCAGATTTTTAGCTATATTGTCAATTTCATTTCATTTACCTAAGAATAGGAAGAGTTGCAAGGGGTTGGATTCAGAGCTTACATGTATTAAGCATACTTTCTACCTCTGAGCTATATTCCCAGTTCGTCCACGTATTTATTTCATGAAATTAGTTACACAAAATTAAAAATTACAGGGATTAAATCAAGCATGAAGTTTTTATTTTTAATACTATTTGAATTTAATAAAAGTGCTCAAGTGACTTTTCCTTATTTTCCTACTAAAATGTAGGACTAGTAGGTCAAAAAACATTTTTCACCCAAAAATTTGTATTAAATGTATAACTGTCAAGTTTCACAACTTTGGGGAACTTTTAAAATAAAATGAGCATTTTTGGTAAAAGGGATATTGTTTGCATTGGTTAATGAAAATATTTTCAAGAAACTACCTCATTAAAATTGTTAATATTGTCTAACAATTATTTTCTCTTTACAGATCTCTCATAGCTCTTGTATTTTTAAATGAACTGTTGGTTTCATTGAATTAGTCCATTGCAAAGCTACATTAAAATGCTGTATTTTATGTTTAATTTACTTTGCGAATGTAATATAAAATATTCTGTTTTTATTATAGTTCAAAAGCATTCCTTGTTCTGTTGTATGATTTTTTTCTTTTGTTACTGTTTTTCACAGTGTCTTCTCACTCTTTAGCACAAGCTGGCCGTAAACTCACACCAGTCCTCCCCGTTCCACCTCCCACATGCTGTGCTTACAATCACAAGCTACCATGTTCAAATATATTTGCTAATACGGTATAGCTCAGTAAAATCTACTTTGTCTTTTGCAGAAATGGCTGCATTTCTCATCATTTATACTGAATGTTTATACATGCAATCCTCTAAATGGGTATCTTTAGAGATAACAGCTAAGTTTTTTCCTGTACTTTAGTTAATGCCTGCACAGAATCAGGAAGGAGGATGGAATTAGTAGTACTCCATTGTGTTTTTCTGGTATAGTTATTTAATTTAAAAAAAAAAAATTGTAATGAGGGGCTAGAGAAGTAGCTCAGCGGTTAAGCACACTGACTGCTCTTGCAGAAGACCCAGATTCAATTCCCAGTGCCTACATGGCCCCTAGCAACCTTCTGTAAGTCCAGCTCCTGTGGATCTGATGCCCTCTTCTGATCTCAGCAGGCACTGCATGAAGTTGGTGCACCTACCTACATGCAGGCAGTACACTCATACACATAATATAAAAAGAAACAAGATTTTCAGACAGAAAAATGTAATGAAACTTAAACACTGAATTCTCATAGAAAAAGTTTTAATTAAAACTGCTGTATAAACTCCATATGGAAAAAAGTAGTCAAATATCATAAAACTGAAGAAATTAACCTTTAAAAGACATCATTTTTATACTATTTTCAATGAACTGAGGCAGCAGTGATTTTTCAATATATTGTCCACTAATTGTCCTTGGCTTTTTAAGAATGCAGTACAGTGGTATATTTTTAAACTGAATTTCCGGCAAAATAGTCTTTGCTGTGATATTTATGGTTGACTTCATTCTTGCTATGTTTTGTTTTTATTTACAGATTGCTCTGGGAACAGTTACCAACGTGGAAGAAGCAGTGAAGTGGATAAGTTACACTTACCTGTATGTGCGGATGAGAGCAAACCCCTTAGTATATGGCATCAGTCACAAAGCTTACCAGGTAGAAATCTGTTATGGCAAAAAAGCAAACCGCCAACACTTAGGACACCTTCTTTTGGATTACTCTGGCCTTGCCTGAAAAGAGAGACCTGGAAGAAAAATACAGAAAGAAAAAAAACGAATCATTTTTAGAAAATGCTGAGAAAAATGAAATTGAGCCCTGAAATTATTTTTGTTAAATCTCTTTTCCCACTAATCCTAATAAGTTCCTATTTGTGTCATTATGAG